CTTACAGTGTCCCAGCCGACTGCACGCGAAGCAGCGCCCTTTGAATGGTGCGGCAGCGGCATTCGCGGCGATGGCGCATATCGTGTCGCCCTCGTTTGTCCCACGAGATCGATGTCCCCAGTTGCTGCTAGTGTAGGACCCCGGTCTCAGTCGGCGAAAGAAGTCAAGCTTCTCCGCCATGGCAAGAATCTCTTGAAAATCGGTAACGCCTCGGAGCTGGATTTCCTGGGCGCTGTCGAGCTTCAGGCCGCCAATTTAGCGGTCGATACGCTCGCCCTCGTGCATATATACCACTTGCCTGCACAGCGCCAGAACCCGCTAGTGTAGTCCTGGACGGAACCGAGTTGGCGCCAAGTGCGGAGCTTCTGACGCGCCGCGATCGAAGCCGCAATTGGCTCAAATCGAGCGCGCAGACATGCGCACCACGCATCCCACGTGCGATATTGGGGCACCTCCACGAAATACGACGGTGCCCAGGGTCCGGTTTGTCCTTCCCGTGTCAGTAGAGTCACGTAGTCATTGGGATTTGTAACAATGACACGCCACCAGTCCATGGCGGGTCCTCGAAGCAGCGACACGGCGTAACGGATCTTCGCCGTATCCTCCAAGACGTAGTTGGTGTCGAAGAAGACGTCCATCGTGAACAGCCACGCCTGAACGGTAGGACCACCTCGTTGACTCGGGTCAAAGCACGGCGGACGCTGCGGCTTCAGCGGCATCGATGACGGCAGTGCCGAATCGTTGATCGGTGCCGAGATCGTGACGCGATGCTGGTTACTAATCGCATTCGTCGCTTCAGGGTGTTTCGTGTAGTGGTCGTCGTCTCCGACATGGCGGACGACGCCATCAATGGCCGCGCTCGCGGGTTGCCCCACACTTCCATGCTGTGATGCTTGTGGTGCGGGTTGCACCGGAGTGCCAGGTGTTTGCGATCGCGCTTGTTGTGCTCGTACGACGTCGTTCTGCAGAGAGGCGCGTTCCGCCATGAGCGCCGCGATTTCTTCAGCCTTTTCGTGCAGCTGTCGCAGCAACTCATTCAAGCGGTCCTGCGTGAGTGTCGCAACGTTGATATGCTCAGCCATTACGAAGGGTGTCGGCTCAGCTTAGTTTAGGTGCAGTCGTGGCTGCACGCGTTTACGAAAAAACACGAGGGCGGCGGCTCCTAGGGGCTAAGGTGCGTGAGTCCCTTCGAGTGAAAAAGCAAAAGTTGATTTCCCGGGGTGCGGAGATGCGCGGTCCGAAAGAAAAGTAGCTCTGAATACCAAGTGTTACGGGTGCAATGAATCGAGGTAGTGAGGATTGCACTAAGGTGTCAAACGATTACAAAATGTGAGCGAAGGCATGAGCGAACATTTATACGCGAAACATGCAAACGGTAACGCGGTGCGTGCGAGCTAGCTAGTGCTAGGCTGGCATCGAGGCTCGGGCTAGTCCCGAAGCGTAGGCCGACACGGCCGGGCCAGCGGTGCATGGTTTGGTGAAACACTGCGTGCAAAGTTGGCGAAGCCCCGTTAGCAGTAATGGGCGAACAATGGCTGCTGCTGTACGCGATGTTGTAGGTCGCGGTAAGGAACGTCAAGAAAATTCCTTACACAAGGGAAGGAATTTCTTGGGTTTGGTTGGGATTGTGTAGCGCTGGCAAGAAAATTTTCTGCAAATGCAATATAAGGCACGAAACGGTTTTCACGATATGGCGTGAATTTCAAGCTACCCAGGCAATAAAAAAAACACATAAGATTGGAAAATAGTGTCACGTGACAACACGCTCACAAACACGTGTCAAAATAATATATAATTCTATATATTGTTCTATAACTGCCTGTAGTGTAGAATACGGTAGTCATATAACTTTCTGATTGGTGGTGCACCTTGTCACAGTTAGCAAGCAGAAATAGAATTGAAGAAAGGAGGGGTTTCACTAGCAGCAGTTGGGATACATATAGCAAACCCTAACTGGGTTGTACCCGCTATAGAGCACCCCACTACAGGCTAGATAATAACATTCTGATACACCTTTCCTGATTCTTGCCTATTTGTACTGCTCGCTCTATAGTGAACATCCTCTTTTGGCTAATCTCTCGACCCCTTTCTCTCGTAACTCTCGTTCTACCCTTCAACCCAAGTCCTAAGTCAACTTAGGCTTCTGACAACACGCTTTCCAACTAGCTGACATGCTTATTAACAAACTCACTTAAATATATGATAGTGCCAATTGAATATAATAACTAACACTACTAATAAATATAATAACAAATATAATCAATATTTGAATCTTTCCACATTAACAGCATTCAATGGAAAGATAAACGAACACGAGGAAGAACAAAATAAGGAACTAACAACCAGTTATAAACAGGATAAAGATTTGTGGCTCTCTGTTACGAGTGAAATTGAGTGAGCAAGCGAGAATTGCACTATCAAGTAAGAGTACAATGAGCGAAGGCATGAGCGAAGAATACATAGCGAAACTACAGTGGTAACGGTAATGTGTGGAAAATGGGGTGCGCGACGGGCCTAGCGCCGAGGCTGGGAAATGACCAGGCGGAGGTCCGGGGCGCGGGTTACCAACCGAACCGTGAGGTTCCATGACCGGACGTGTCACTATATGCCACAGCAGAATAGGATGGCTGAGCGAGAGATTTGCTCGGTCGTCGAGGCCATGTAAACTATGCTACTTCGCATGGGCGTGATGCATCACTGGTGGCATTTTCCCTTGCGTCCGTGTGGGTGTGCAACTGCAACTGCCTTGAGCGTGCTTCTCTGCCATCGGGGATGACGATGCACGAGATGGTGTTTGCTAAGAAGCTGGACCTCCTCACGCTGGCACGCGTATGGGGCTGCATGGCGCGGTTCATGGTCCTGGAGCAGCAGCACTGTAGGAAGTTGGCACCCAAGACATGCTGGGGGTTTCACCTTGGTGTCTCGTCAGAGAGGTAAGGCTGGGAGGTCCTCAACTTGACCGACAACTGTTGTGTGATGCTACCACATGCACCTTGCATGATGCATATGGGCACAGCACAGCATTGTATGCGACATGTGACGTGTGTTGTACACAACTCAAGATACATGGAGGGCTTGTCAGAATATTATGTTTCTGTAGTCTGCAGTGGGGTACTCTATAGTGAGTACAACCCTTTTAGGGTTTGCAATATGTATCCCAATGTTTGCTAGTGAACCCCCTCTTCTTCATTTCTCGGTTTCTTCACATGCTATCAGAGCATCTACGGTCCTGGCCTGTGGGCCCACCTCGCTGCTTCCGCTGCTACTCTGTGCACTACACGCCCCGTGGCGTGCCCCTCTCGCGACCCTTAGTGGCCCCATCGCCACCCCTCGCGGCCCCGTCGCCGCCCTTCTCGGCCCCTCGCGGCCCCTTCGCGGCCCCGTTGCCGCCCCTTTCATGCCCCTTGCGGCCCCTTCGCGGCCCGTCGCCGCCCTTCCAGGCCCCTCGCGGCCCCTTCGCGGCCCCGTCGCCGCCCCTATCGGCCCCGTCGCCGCCGCCAGCGGCCCCGTCGCCGACCCAAGCGGCCCCGTCGCCGCCCCTAACGGCCCCGTCGGCGCCGCCAGCGGCCCCGTTGCCGACCCTAGCGGCCCCGTCGCCGCCAGCGGCCCCGTCGCCGACCCTAGCGGCCCCGTCGCCGCCCCTATCGGCCCCGTCGCCGCCTCCAGCGGCCTCGTCGCCGCCACTTGCGGCCCTGTCGCCGCCCCTTTCGGCCCTTCCTCGACCCTGCCCCGGCCCCGCCCCGGCCATGCTTCGTCGCCAGTCGCGGCGCACCGGGGGCACGTGCACCGCCCACCCCCCTTTTCCCATCGCCTGTCGAGGCGACCTGAGGGGGCCGCGACCTGGGGGAGGGGGGCGAGCGCCGCCCCTTCTGCCGCCTGTTTTGGCGCCCTGGGAGGCCGCGCGTCGGCCCCCCCCCTTCCCCCCCCCCCCCCCCCCCCGTAACCTCCCTACCCGCCATCCCGCCCTGCCCTGTGTTAGGGTTTGGGGGTGGCGAGTAGGGGGTGGAGGGTGTGTGGTCTCCCCTGCTCCTCCTCCTCCTCTGTCTCCCACTGCTGCAGCTGCCGCTGAGGGGGGTGGGTGTGTGGGAGTCGACGGAGTGGTGCTAGGGGGTGGGGTGTGAGTGAACCTAGGGGTGCAGTAGGGGGTGTGTGAAATGGGGGTGGGATAGTTTGGGGAGGTTGAAGGGGGTGGCCGCCGTGAAGCCCGCAGCTCCAGTCGCCCGTGAGACCGTTGCGCCAATCGCCCGTGAGCCCGTTGCGCCAGTCGCCCGTGAGCCCGTTGCTCCAGTCGCCCGTGAGTCCGTTGCTCCTGCCGCTCAGAGTTAGCCGCAGAGCCAGTTACTCCAGTAGCCCGTGTGCTAGTTGCTCCAGTTGCTAGTGTGCCAGTTGCTCCAGTTGCCCGTGTGCCAGTTGCTCCAGTTGCCAGTGTGCCAGTTGCTCCAGTTGCCCGTGTGCCAGTTGCTCCAGTTGCGCTGTGTGCCAGCAGCTTCAGCTGCCGCCCACTACCTCCTCTCCTCTCATAGTCCCTCCTCCTCCACACTTGCCCTCTGCGATAGCCTCTTGCTTTGCTTACATTTGTGAACTTTAAACTGTTGCTTCTTGTACTTGTGCTCAGAATGTGTGGTGACATTGTGATCCACCCTGAGCTTGTTCTGCTTTGCTTGTTGTGCTGATTACACCCCACTTTGACTATGGGGGTGTGTCAGAATATTATGTTTCTCTAGTCTACAGTGGGGTACTCTTTAGTGAGTACAACCCTTTTAGGGTTTGCTATATGTATCCCAGTGTTTGCTAGTGAACCCCCTCTTCTTCATTTCTCGGTTTCTTCACAGGGCTGTCCTCTGCTCTAGCTGGTCATCATTTGTCCAACACTTGTGTTGATGCTGCTCCCAATAAGCTGCCTAGCTCTGCTGAACCTGAACTTGTCCTGCTCGAAGTGGTAACAAAGGGGGGAGAGATGGGAAAACAGGATGGAAAGGTGGAGAGGCAGGAACGGAGGATTAGGTGGGACACAGAGGTTTGGTGACAAGAGTGGGAGATGGGGAAGAGAGGAAAAAAGAGGGAAAGGCAGGAAGATTGCAGAAAAGTGGGAAGGGCTGGAAGAGAGGGGAAATGAGGTAAGGTAAGAAGAGAGCTGAAAAGAGAGAAAGGCAGCAGGAGAGGGGAAAAGAGGGTAAGGCAGGAGGATTGTGAAAAAGAGGGGGGAAGGGTAATGCAGGGAGGGGAAGGGTAATGCAGGGAGGGGAAGGGTAATGCAGGGAGGGGAAGGGTAATGCAATGAGGGGAAGGGTAATGCAGGGAGGGGAAGGGTAATGCAGGGAGGGGAAGGGTAATGCAGGGAGGGGATAGGTAATGCAGGGAGGGGAAGGGTAATGCAGGGAGGGGATGGGTAATGCAGGGAGGGGAAGGGTAATGCATGGAGGGGAAGGGTAATGCAGGGAGGGGAAGGGTAATGCATGGAGGGGAAGGGTAATGCAGGGAGGGGAAGGGTAATGCAGGGAGGGGAAGGGTAATGCAGGGAGGGGAAGGGTAATGCAGGGAGGGGAAGGGTAATGCAGGGAGGGGAAGGGTAATGCAGGGAGGGGAAGGGTAATGCAGGGAGGGGAAGGGTAATGCAGGGAGGGGAAGGGTAATGCAGGGAGGGGAAGGGGTAATGCATTGTGTGGAACCTGTGCGGCAGGGCAATGCCGCACTGAGCCACGTGACAAGCGATGATCATGTGATGGGGCCTTCCCTCGCGATGACGAGCGGGGGGGATGAGGAGAGACTTATGGTGGACTGGCAGTTTCAGTGCGGCCTCTTGTCGCTTACTTTCGGGAGGCGCGGCCTCTCGATAGGCGACGAAATGAGCGGGAGAAGGGGGGAATTGATCGAGAGAAAGAGAGGACATGACAGGGAGCAGGGGGGGGAATGAGAGGGAGAAGGGGGGAAATGAGCGGGAGAAAGGGGGGGCATGACAGGGAGCAGGGGGGGAAATGAGAGGGAGACAAAGGGGGGAAAGAGGGGGCGCATCGGAGGAATGAGGGGGAGAACGGATGGAAATGAGAAGGAGAAAGGGGGGCAATGAGCGGGATAAGGGGGGGAAATGAGAGGGAGAAGGGGGGGAAACGAGATGGAGAAGGGGGGGAGACGGGAAGGAGAAGGGGGGGAGATGAGAGGGAGCAGGGGGGGGGGGGGGGGAATGAGAGGGAGAAGGGGGGGAAATGAGCAAGTGTATGGGAGGGAAACGAGAGGGGGAAAGGGGGGGAATGATGGGGAGCATGAGGGGAAATGAGAGCGAGAATGGGGGGAAATGAGAAGGGGAAAGGGGGGACATGAGAGTGAGCAAGGGGGGAAATGAGAGGGAGAAGGGGGGGAAACAAGAGGGGGAAGGGGGGTAAACGAGAGGGGGAGGGGGGGAAACGAGAGGGAGAAGGGGGGGTAACGAGAGGGAGAAAGGGGGGAAACTGGGTAAAAGGGAGGCGGGAAGGGGATATGGGGTGGCGAGAAGGGGTAATGGGGAGCGGGAATGAGGTGCGAAAGCGATACAAGGCACGAAACGGTTTTCACAATATGGCGTGAATTTCAAGCTACCCGGGCAAACAAAAAAACACATAAGATTGGAAAGTAGTGTCACATGACAACACGCTCACAAACACACTTTCCAACTAGTTGACATGCTTATCAACAAACTCACTGAAATAAATGATAGTGCCAATTGAATATAATAACAAACACTACTAATGAATATAATAACAAATATAATAAATATTCGAATCTTTCCACATTAATAGCATTCAATGGAAAGATAAACGAACAGGAAGAACCTGTTATAAACAGGATAAAGATTTGTGGCTCTCTGTTACGAATGCAATTGAGTGGGCAAGCAAGAACTGCACTATCGAAGCAAGAGTACAATGAGCAAAGGCATGAGCGAAGAATACATAGCGAAACTAAATGGTAACGGTAGTGTATGGAAAATGGGGTGCGTGACGGGCCTAGCGCCGAGGTTGGGAAATGTCGAGGCGGAGGTCCGGGGCGCGGGTTACCAACCGGACCGTGAGGTTGGGTCGCGTCGTGAACAGTGGCGGGAACAGTGTCGAGGCGAGTGTCGCGAGTGGTAACAAATTACTGTTGGGTGTTGTTGGCAGGAACAGTGGTGTACGCGCTGAGCAGGGACGCGAAGTATGGAAAATGAGTTTTCCCTGCACTATCCCCCCCCCCCCCCCCTAAAGAGGTCCTCCTTACGAAAGCGTGTGTACATCCCAAAAATTTCGGCTGCGCAGATACTCGGTGAGGACGGGGTGGTTCTCAACTCTGTCCAGGGGAACCCAGTTGTCTTCAGTGGGCGTTCGAACTCTCCAGCAGATCAAAAATTCGATCCTTCGAGCTCCCCGTGGGTCACGAACTCGGTGGCTCAGAATTTTCTAGGGTGTGATTATTGGCTCGGTCGGCGGTCGCGTCATGCTGGCTAGGCGGTTGCAAGGCAGTTGGCTGGTGGATGGCACGTAAGGGCGAAGCAGGCTGACGTGGAAGGACGGGCTGACGTACTAGTCAGCAGGGAGGAGGAGGTGGGCGGTGACAGGTGTGATCATGTGGCTGATGCGAAATGGCCCGCAATATCGGGGGTGGAGTTTTGGGGAGATGGGCAGGCGGAGGTTCTGTGTGTCGAGTAAAACTAGGTCGTCGGGCTGGTAAGTGACAGGTCGGCGGTGGCGGTCGGCGTTGCATTTAGCGATGATGTTTGATTTTTATATTGCGTCTGCTGTCTGGGTCCGTGCTGCTTGCAAAATTTCAGCGAACTGTTGGCGCATGGCACCGGGTTGTCAGAATTTGGGGTCATGGGTACTGTGGGGTCTTGTCTGTAGTTCGGGTAAAACGGTGACTGTTGGGTCATGTTCGGCAGTTTGAGACGAGTCGTGCGCGTTCACAGTGGCGTGAGGAGGCAACGTCGTGAGGCGGCACGACGGACGACGAGGCAAGGCCGTGAGAGAAGGTCCTGCGGGATAGCCGCGTGATAGGGCGGGACTGACATTGGTTTATCCCTATAATTACACTAAACTGCCCCACGCATCTAGGTTTGTGTCGGAAACGGGGGTAATTTGCGCTGGCTGTTGAGTCGCAATGTGCTCAGCTACGTATTATGCTGCCTGTAGAGCGTAGTGGCATAGATCTCACATAGGCTGGAATTCGTATACTTTTGTCAACCCAAAAGTTTTGAATCACCAGCGAGTGCTGGTTGTGTTAGAATCAACGAGCAGGAATGATGTATCAGAAGTAGCAGTACAAAGTTTAGAAACAGAAAAGAGGGGTTTCACTAGCAGCAGTTGAGATACATATAGCAAACCCTAACTGGGTTGTACCCGCTATAGAGCACCCCACTACAGGCTAGATAATAACATTCTGACATGATAGACTATGGAGAAAGTTTGGTACAAGTATAAACCTAAGGGGGTTGTACCCCACATTGGCTACCCCACTACAGCCTACACCCAATTACAAAGCATATATATAGTTTGACACACCCCCATAGGCAAAGTGGGGGAGAACAAGGGATCACAAGACCAGTCAAGAAAAGCACTGCAAGCTCAGGGTGGATCACTACGTCACTACACACTCTAAGCACAAGCAAGCGGGCCGCAAGGCCAGTTCACATGCAGAGATATATATGCAACAACAAAAGTACAGTGATCACTACCTAGCAAGAGTGTACATGCAGGTATATATATTTATATTTATATATCATAGTACAACCAAAGTCTACAGTAAGTGAGGAAACATAGGCACCAGGCCTAGAGAAGTGCAGAAGAGCTGATGATCACCAGCCGGAAGGGCCTTGGTGAACACATCAGCCGTGTTGGCCGGGTGGGCACGTGACCGACACGAAGCTGACCACGCTACTGCAACTCTCAAGCAAGGAAGTAACGCAGAGCAATGTGCTTTGTTCTGTGCTCAAATCTATGCTCCAGATACAAGGCAATGGCAGCCTTGTTGTTGACGTACAGCATTGGAGGAGAACAAGGCCTCTCTCCCAAGTCGATCAGCAGGTAGGTGAGCCAACGTAACTCCTGTGCAGCCATGGCTGTGGCGTAGATCTTTGCCTCACAACTAAAGCTGAGAACAGAAGTTGAGCAAGTAGACCGCCAAGAAACAAAGCCTGAGCCAAGGCTGAACGTGTAACCCTGTGACGACCGCTGCGTAGCCAGATCGTCAACCCAAGAAGCGTCTGAGTGCCCAGTGAGGACAACTGAGCTCCGCCCTCCAAGCACGAGCCCCATGTACTGCACAAGTAGCACAATACCCTCTTCGTAGCATCCATGTGTACCTTTTGGTGCCTATCAGGAGCCACGTAGCGTGCCAGAAGGCCAAGAGGGTACGAAAGTTCAGGACGAGTGCACGTCATCAGGTACATGAGGTAGCCCACTAGCTCTGGGTAAGGACCACTCGGCTCTACAGACTCGTCCGAAGGTGGAGCTGAGAGCGAGTGACGTGTAGCTAGGGGAGTGGAATGTGGAAAGGACCAAGTGAAGCCGAAGCGCTGAAGGACCTGCTGCACCATGTGCGACTGAGTCAGTGTGATGGTGCGCCGTGCTCTGTCCCGGGTGATCTACAGGCCAAGGTAGCTGCGCATCTCACCCAGGTCTGTGCACGTGTGTCTCTTCTGCAGCTCCGACTTCACAAGGACGAGAGCCTCAGTATTAGCAGTGGCAAAGACCAAGTCGTCGACATACACGAGGATGTAGAACGGTGGCAACGAAGTGTCGGTGCGCAGAAACAGCCGCGGGTCAGCAGTGGAAGGTGCTAACCCAAGAGCCGCAAGTGTCGTCCTCAGTGTGTCGTGCCACTTACGAGGCGCCTGACGGAGACCGTGGACTGGCCGGTGGAGGCTCTACTGGGTACCAGGAGGGAATGACCCAGTGAAGCCAGGTGGGCGGTCCAGCCAGATCTCCTCGTGCAGACTGCCCTATAAGAACGTTGTGCTGAAGTCCAGGGAGTGAAGCTCGTAGTCACGCTGAGCGGCAACGTGCAGCAGCACCCGAAGAGTGGTCATCTTCGGGGTGGGGGAGAAGGTCTGGAAGAAGTCGACTCCCTGTCGCTGACTGAAGCCTCTAGCAACGTAACGAGCCTTGAAGACAGGCGGTGAACCCGGCGGCCGCTTCACCCTCAAAAACCACATGCCAACGACTACGCTCGCCCCAGGAGGGGGAACTGCGTCGACGTAAGTGCCTGTGGACTTCCAGGATGCCATCTCTGCGTCCATGGCTGTCTGCCACTGAGACGAGTACTCACCTGCGATCGCCTCAGCGTAAGAGCGTGGGGTCAGGATGTCTGGAGCATCCGGGTCTCCCTCAGGGGCAAGCAGCATGGCCACGAGATGAGGCGCAGCGACTGCAAGACACTCAAAGTCCTCCTGCATGTCCTCAAGGACGTCCGTGCCACGAGCACACTCACCCCCGACGGATGGAGGACAGACAGACTCAGACTTAGCAACAAGACTAGCTGCGAAGTCTAGACGACAGGCAGCAGCAAAGTCAACTGTTATAGTCACAGTAGGCTCCAATGTGCCTAAAACGAAAGATAGAGTGCATAGTCGGATTTCTGCACAGCGGCTTCAAACGTTCATATCGTTTTGGTCACAACATCAAATGACTTGTTTCAACTTGGATCTGGAGCTTCTTATTCTCGCCTACACTAGGCAATTTAGATCGCACGATTTGACCAAGTATTGACGACACAGCGTCGGTTTGAACGAACAGCACTATGGCAGCAACATAGTCTTGGAACACAAGATAGGAAGAGTTAGGAAGAGTTACGAGTTGGGAATGACTCCCAGCTCCTACAATCCCCAAGAGCCGAGGTACAGTGATGTGGAACAGTGCCACACTGTCCCCAACCACGAAGGGTCTCGAAACTACCCTTCACTAGGGCCTACACCAAGTGAAATGTTACACTACACAAAGTAATGTAACTATCTTCAATATCTTGAGGTGCACCCTTTTGGCGAGCTTCGAAATCACTTGAGGCTTGACACCAAGGCTCGGGCTCTTCATCACAAACTCATCCTTGAGTTCTTGATGTGTCTTCTACACACACCTGCGACACGCCGAACGTTCGACACAGGACAAAATAGGAACCGCGCACAACAAAATAGAAACCGCGTGCGAGACACAAACGACCGCGTAACACGCGTCTAGCGATAACTCGCTATTGACTCAACACACACACAATTATAAGCATGAAATATATATTATCCCATGCCCTCATACCATTCCATACACACACACATGCACGCACACGGACAACAAGCCGAGTGCAAACCGTACGGTTGCACCAACAAACTCCCCCTCGGATTGTTGGCCTTAGGATATGTTACTCTCTTAGTTCAGAGCCATCCCAGCCAGCTTGCAACACTTCCAATGCTGCTGCTCCACCAGCCTCTTAGTCATCATGTCGGCCGGCTGCCCCGTGGTCTTCACGTACCGCAACTCAACTTCACCCGCGGTCACCATGCTCCTCGTCCAATGCCACTTCACCCTCATGTGCTTTGTGAGTCCATGCAACACAGGGTTCTTAGCAAGAGCAATGGCACCCTGGCTGTCACAGTAGAGTGGGGTAGGTCCTTGCTGCTCCTCCCCCAATTCAGCCAACAAACGCCGCTGCCACACAATCTCCCGTACG